AAATTACGCGACCTCCCTGAAAAATACTCTTACTTCAAATGTCAGTTTTATGTCACAAAAACTGCTAAAAATAGCAAACGTAAACAAACTGTCAAAAGATATTTTAAACCGTATTTAATACCAAAACTGAACAAAAATGAGTTAGATAACTTAGATATACAAACTAAAGCACAATACAAACCATCACAACAGAAATATGTGTCGTGAATAACTTTTAAAGTTTGAAAAATAACAATTTATCCTGGAATTTAGCTGTCAGTATAAAACACGCGCGCTAGACTATAACGGTGATGTTATGATTTTGTTTGTGCTTAAATTTTGCAATAATTCTCACTAAAATATCTTGAAAATCATTGTAAGCCTGTTTATATAAAGCATACAAAGCATATACATCGACAAGGAACCGCAAAACTCAAAGTTTAAACTTCGTGACCGAATGACATAAAACTGACATGTCAACTCTAGCATTTTCGTCCTTGGTCGCGTAATTTTGAAAACGGGTGTAAGGATGTTGTTGCAACTCGTATACATCCAACTACTCATAATTATAATCTTAGGTCCGAATCAAGCTGGTCACTCCAAACGAACACAGAACGGTTTCAAAATTTTATAACTGTTAAATATAATTATTAATGTATTATTGATTTAGTAGTACTCGTGTATATTCAGGTACCCAATTATAATTTGTGGACAGATTTAAACTGACTATTCAGAACGAACATTGAACGGTTTGAACTCAATTTTATCTGTAAATTTAATTTTTAATGTATTTACTTATAATCATGTAATTCAGTCTCTACTGCAATGTGATTAATTAAACAGATTATTATTATTATTATTCGTCGGAGGCCCTAACTTCCCGACGACAATGCTTATATTTTCAGGTTTTTCAAAAAAAAAACATAAAAAAAGAAGAGACTGCTTGGCAAATTCGAGGCCATTGTATGTTAAATATCCAGCCGCTGACCTGACCTGATTGGATCGAGGACGGGGGTCACAGAACACATGGGATAAATTGACTGCCACTCTGCATACACAACGCTAGAGATTGAGCCTCGCATAGTTTAAATAAACAACTATGGCTACAAGAACGGTTGCTAGAATATTTAATTATTCTATGACTATGCCATCTTAAAGTGGAACATTAATTCTGTAGAATTTATCCAGAGTTGTGATATTCGATGATGATCTATGTTACCATACCGCCATTTTCATTGTAGATTGCTGGTGTCCTGACACTTCCCTTTGATGTCGTAAAGACTCATCGTCAGATTGAACTTGGTGAAAGTAACTTTGGTTAGTGTTTAAATCCAGGGTGTATAAAAAAAAACTACACAGTTAGAAAAAGTTCGCTAAAGTCAGATGCGCGCGACATTTGCGAAAACTTTCAGTAAGCTATATGTACTTTAACGTTCTCTGGTAGCGTTTTTAGAGTAGGAAGGCTGTTACCAACCCAAAAAAAAAGGCCTTGCGCAAAAACATTTTTCATCAGAAACAAAATTTAATCACACAGAGTCAAAATATGGACTGTCTTGCACAAGCTATCAAAGTTTCAAGAAATTTGGTGCACGCGTAGGCCAACGTGAGATATTCAAAACCTGCATTTTCTCCCATTTTGTTAGTTCAAACGCGATTTCTTTGCATGATTTCAAATTAATTTTATGCATGCTCGGATGTTTGCATAAATTACAGTACGAAATTCGCAAGCCAATTCCCAAAGGTCCTTTATAATAATAATATAATAATAACTTCACAAAATTATTGACATGCATTGTTTATTTTCAAACAAAATCATTCTTCAACATAGGAGGGCACGTTGAAGATTGATTTTGTTTGTAAATAAACACTGCATGTCAATAATTTTGTAAATAAACGCTGTTAATAACTCTAGAACCTTTGGGAATTGGCTTGCGAATTTCGTACTGTAATTTATGCAAACATCCGAGCATGCATTAAAATTAATGCAAAGAAATCGCGTTTGAACTAACAAAATGGGAGAAAGTCCAGGTTTTGAAGATCTCGCGTTGGCCTACGCGTGCACGAATTTCCTGAAACTTTGACAGCTTGAACGCAGGGCTAGAGGTGGGGTTAGGGTGGGGGTCAGGTATCAGCCCTGATACATAATAATAGGGGTCACACGAAGTATATACCCAAATCTGGACCTCACTAAGCCACTCCAATATAACTAAGCAGCATCGTGCAAAAGACGACAGGGGAAAACCGGCAGTGTGTTAAGTTTTTATTTGCTCGTCTGTCTATGCCAATTCTTACTATGACAAGTACACTTTTGGGCAAGTGCACTTGTCATAGAAAAAATTGGCAAGGTACAAATCTTGTTCGTCTGCACGGGTCAACAAAGAAAATTTGTCAAAGCAATTTGAGCACTTTGATCTATTGTTGTAATAGCCAATATTAAGCAATAACAGCTATCATGGCGGTCGGAAAACCAAAAAATTGTCATAGAAAATTTGTTGACAAATAAAACTTGTCATATGAAAACTTGTCATAGAAAACTTGCTCGTCTGTAACCGGACTTTATACATTAAGAAACTAATATTAATATTAGTTCTCTTATGATATATCTAGTCTTATAATTATAAATGCAGGGAGACAAATAAACGAATTGAGATAACGCTTACTACCCTGTATCAATCAGTAAGAAACTTGCTTGGTCCTGTAGGAATCAGCATTGCAAAAAACACAAAAGATCACATTGCAAAAAAAATTGATGGTTTATTTTATTTTTTATTTAAACGTTTTTAAAGACGCTGTAACAAAGAAATAATAATTAAGATTATATATTTAGTTTTTCAAAACAGTCTTAACACCAAGACTCGCAAGATTTCGCAAGCTTTTCTACCAAGAGATTATGTCACAGTTTCACCAAAAGCGTTTGTGAATTGTGATGTTCTAATTTCGAAATGAGGAAAACAGAACCCTATAAGGAGCTCACAATTCGAAAGAGCCTATAATCCCTGCTCAATTTTTGACCTTCTAGTAGGACAGATCATCAAGTGCTTACTTAATATGTTCCGAACCTTAAGTTTGGATCTTCTCCTTATAGAAGGTATGTTGATGGGGGTGGGAGGGGTAAGTGTCTCATTGTCCCTGTCTCATTTGGGCTTATCCAAGTTGTTTTGCATGCTGATTTACTGCGGATTCAGGTAGACCGTTAAATGCGAATAGTTGTCGCGTTAGTTTTAACGGTTGTACGATGACGTTTCTAGGCAGATTTTCAGACGTTTCTAAGGCGTGGCTTCAATGTTTATTTTCAAAATTTAACCGTTGTAATTACGTTTAAATTTTGAAAATAAACATTGAAGCCACGCCTTAGAAACGTCTGAAAATCTGCCTAGAAACGTCATCGTACAACCGTTAAAACTAACGCGACAACTATTCGCATTTAACGGTATATAGATAAACCAGAATACCATTGATCACAAGGACAAAGTAACATTGTCAGAATAGAATATCTTCAAAACTGAAATTTAAAATTGAAATTGCATAAACACAGTGGTTTTTATTAATACTTCATGTCGTATATTTTTCCAATTTTAAGATCCAAAGAAGAAATTTCCTTCTACGTTTTCGTTGTTGATGAAGCTTCAGAAGGAACAGGGAACTGGGGCTTTATTTACAGGTTTAACAATTTATAGATTTTAATATTTATATTTTACTAATTTTAACATCTATTTATTATATATACCGATTCGAGAAATGATTGCCGCCAGTGTGTTGTCTGCCAATATTCAGTTTAACCGACATATTGTAATTACAACTTCGACACTTCGTTAGCCAATTCAAAAGCTTGGATAACTCACATACGTTGTAACTACTGTATACTATTGTTATAATTAACAAAAGTATAGAAAGAAGAACATGCATCTGTTTCATGTATTCGTACATGTTGCATGGGATTTGGACAATGGTTTTGCCAAATCGAGAACAAATTTTAAATACCCAATTGGCAACCTTGATACATGGCTACTATTGTACTGCCCCATGCCATGCAATTTACTATAAAATTGGCTAGTACGGAAACAGCGTCAATCATTGTAGTGATTGTTGTTTGCCATGCATATGCATTGCTTTTTTTAATTTTTTGAGATGTCGTTATACTTCGCCGAAACCAGTTTATTATTTAATGTTTTTTTATCAGTTATTGTTAAATAAAATAATTATTTTCGTTATCATGATTACCAGGCCTGCAAATTACTGCCACCTATCGGACATTGTCCGACATCAAACCTTTTTGAGTACAGGATATGCGACCACTGATTGGGCATCTTTGTGATTTGATTGAAGCTTACATGAGGAAAAATTTGAAAAGTGATCGGAAATTATCACGTTTGTTGCACTTACTGATTATAAATAGCATTCTATATCAACGAGGTCCTTATTGACAATTGTCCATTGTCTAACAATACCTGGTAAATGTCTGAACATTTTTCGTCTTGGCCGGATATTTTTCCGTCGCAGCAAATTATTTGCTGGCCTTGAAATAATTTTGTTAACTACAGTTGTGTTCTCTTTTCTAGGAATTACTGCTCGTGTCGCCAAAATTGCCCCAGCATGTGCCATAATGATTACGTCATATGAATACGGCAAGGCATTCTTCAGACAGCGGAATGAAGCGGTGGTTTCAAAGCAGCTACATGGCTAATTTAGAACATATATACGCGGGAAAGGATACAAAATGCATTCGTGTTTATATGATGAATTGTCATGGCAAGAAGAACAATAATGAAGGCATTTTCATATCCTGCATGTTATCAATTTATATAGGAACACTAAATAGTTTCAACGAATGCACCGTTATTTCACTAATATTTGTCTCCAGACTCTAACTCAATATTAACATTTTTACATTCGATCAGATGCGTCTGTGTAAACAACCATTTTCATACTACGGTCACACGGGTCAGGACCATAGATATCTTATATCTATGGACAGGACTAATTCGGAACCGTACGCAAACATGTTCCGTTCCACTTGTTCACACGCATTTCACTCGGCTGGTATTCGTCCGATTTCATTTGTGTCTTGTGGACGCATAGATATAACAGTCGTGCAAATGTTGACAACGGTTCCGAATTCGTATGTCCCTGTGTGAACGTATAGACGTACACTGTATAGTCTTGGGAACAAACACGAACAAATTATAACACAAGCTATGTTTACATTTCCATACATCGGTATACAATAAGTAGAAGTAGAGTAGTTGTGTTAACATTTTTTAAGTTGAATGTGAATATTTCAAGAAATGTTCTGAAGAAAATTTGCTGGATAAATTCAGCCGTCATTTTTAATCGCTCACGGAGATCTGCCTGCCTGGGATTCGGATCTGAACATAGTCTTTCGAGACATGGTTTGGAAACTCAAACTTCGAAGCGGCTATAATGAGCTGGAAGTTTATGTTGAGCCGTACCTTACACCGTGCACATCCTTTGTTTTAGGTTTATTAATATTTAAACAGCATGGTTGAATGACTGAACTGAAACGTTGCTATTGGATGATTCGTTCATTATACTTCAGTATAATGTGTTCATTGACCGTGCACCGTGCACAAAACTGCATAAACGCGAACAAAAAGATAGAACAAAGACTTCAGCGGAGTTTCCAAGCCATGTTTTGAAAGACTATATGATCTGAAGCGGCGATTTGTTTCTCCTATAGCACATCCATAGTGATACTGTAACTTCATCTGTTGTGAAAGCGACTATCGCACACTGACAACACATCGGGTGAAAATGCTCGAACATACCCACATGCATGTCCATAGTTTTTAGTCGCAATCCAAAATCTGATCAGCAGCTTGGGCGAGTTCCTCAAGATTTGGTTTTCTTGGTATGACAAATGGTGGGTGGCATTCAAATTCTTTAAATAATTCGGACGGAGCTCGACAAACAAATTCTATGCAGTCCATGGAGCGAGGAGCGTCTTCATCTGGACCTTTCAAGAGCAAACAATGAAATTAATGGGTTAGTTCGGTTTAGGCTCGAAAAAGAAAAGAACATGATGGCCTGACAAACTATTTTGAAGATTTTCTTTTTCACAGATCAGATACTATAGCAAAGTCATAGACTCTAGGCTAGTCAGGTCAGCAATTTCTATTTTGAACTACCAAATGATCATGATGAATGTAAATTTTTACCAGCATTTAGTAATTTATATAGTTGCTGTACTAAACTATACTACTTGACGAATGAAACCATAGAATATTTTGTAGAATTCTAGAACCGTAGTCGTAGAATCAGTATAGAGTGTGGTATTTCGCCTGCCATGCAATCTGTGATTATTTCGAGTCCTGGTTAGTTCTCCTGGGTAGTTTTTTTCCTTCATTTGTATGCGTTATGTCATTCATTAGCTAATGTAGTAGTGACATACTGATATTAGTAACTGTTAATTTTTCTGAAATTAGACTTTCAGAATTTCGGTACATTTCCAAGGCAGTCCCGCTAGTGGCAACATGCTAAGCACGTAACTGGTACAGCCTTGTACCCAGGCGCAAATAACGTACTAAAAATAGCAACACTACAGTGTTTTTATATAGATCAGTGGCTAAGATGAGTGGGGGTGCTTGGGGCCACTGATCTATACGAAAACACTGTAGTGTTGCTATTTTTAGTACGTTATTTGCGCCTGGGTACGAGGCTGTACCTGGTATAAAATACATTGGATCAAAGTTGGTCGGATTTGGTACAGTTGGTATCAACCATGATATTACAGTACTCTTCCTGGCATACTGATCTTGAAGAAAACCGCGTATTTGAGCATAATACAGAGATTCGTCAATATCTTGTAACGATACTATGTCACCAACTTGGTACAGGATTCCCTGCAAAAAGCATGAAATTATGAGGAATACAGTAAATAACGTTCGGATTTAGGCTACTCACACTTGATGCATACAGGGTACATGCACTGTGAAAACGTACCTTAAATAACCTTATTTTTGTTTTCTATATTTATATCTTGTAAACTAAATTAAAGGGCCCATTGTAATTGGTGTTAAGGCGTTAAGCTGTTGTGGTGTCCCAGCTTCTTTAATAGAGACCTTACGATTTTAGGACGGCAACGGCTACTAATACAATAGATCATTGAAAAGAATTGAGTAATTACAATATATGCCGAATAATTTAGACATTGTCCTCGCTCTGTTTACAACGCCAAATCACAGATTTTCACGTCTTGATACTACGGCTGCATTTCAAGCCGCAACATGTGTAACTTCAAACTGGGTTTAGCAGAACTCTTCACGACCATAAAACCCATGATGTCTTCAACTTCTAAAACTGTATTAAATTCATACTGTACGATTGATAATATAACACGAACTATCTTTACTACCATTTATTTGAAGGAGTTTGTTTTGGCCGTTGCCGTCCTAAAATCGTAAGGTCTCTAACGTCATTATTTTTACGACGTTTGAAAGCAAAGCACAATAAATAAAGGAATAGTGTATATGACCCTCCTTACACATTGTGTTTTCCTGTTGGAACGAGACTACAGTATGTACATGGAGTTGACATGGCAGTGTCCAGTCCCCCTGATTGTTTACAGTCTGCCTCCTCCGCAGGCCCTCGTTGTGTCATGGGAAGGTCATGATTTCGAGAGGGCCTGCGGAATCTTGTAAAATGAATAAATGTTATTTTGAACCTGCTTCGTTAAAGAAGGCAGTTTTATTCGTGCAACGTTGGTGTGGACAACAAAACTTATCGTTAAAAAATGCTTCCTTCCACGTCCTTAGAGTCGCCAGTTTAATTTACAAGTTTCACACCGCTTTTTTATATCTGTTTATATTCAAGATTATGTAGAAATTTACTTGCTGACGGGACGCCGGCGCCATTTTTTTTACAAGATTCCGCAGGCCCTCGCCAGATCGTGACCTTCCCATGACGCAACGAGGGCCTGCGGAGGAGGCAGGTTTACAGTGTGCCCAAATTAGGCATATCTACAGCTCTGACTCTAGCCCTTACAGTCTAGTTTTGAACTTGGGCAAAACACCATAACACCAATATTAAATATTAGCAATAACTTACTAATTGAACATTAAATTTCTGATACAGCGTTACTTAGATTCTCAATTACAAGTTGAATTAATTCCTGAATTTACTGTACAAGTTGTTTGTATATTATCAATGTTATAATCTTACAAACCTTGTAGAATAAGCTATCTGATGCAACAACAGTTGCTTCAACAACTGGGGATCTTTGCGGCTAGAAAAAGACAGTATATAATTGACATTTATATATTGAATAAAATAGGTTAATATGTTCTATTAATGTATTTACCAAAATACACTTCACCTTAATTGGCAGGACTGTACAGGGTGTCCCAAAAAAATTAACACTATAGAAATTATCCTATTGCCTGGTAATTAAAAATGTATACATTAAGCCTGGTTTCCATATGGTCATAATGGTCGTAAAGATTGTGTCACGATCTTTCTCAACAGCTGAAATACTGTAATAATAATAACACTGACAACAGACAGTGATTATAAGTTATAACTAGAGAATACTTATGATTTATATGTGGTTTACAGGTAGGAACTATTATAATCTGGCCGTTGAGAAAGATTGTGACTCTATCTTTACGACAGTTACGACCATATGGAAACCAGGCTTAAGATTTAAGAACAAAGAAAAGAAAGGATCAACGACAGTATACAGTACTGTATCTATATACAACAATTATGAGAGTTCTTTGCTATTTGCATAATTGCATTGGATTATTTGTACTGATACTTTTTTGATCAAGACTTTTACTTACTGTAGATTGAATCAATGGCAAAGCTACAATAGACATACCAACAGGTCATGCTATGCAAATGTTTAATGATTTGCATTATTCAAACATTCAGAAATACATTATTTAATTTATCTTTAACTTATTTAGGCAGGTTTAAAAACCAGTTGCCAATGGCTAACTTCGCCACTGGATTGAACGGAACGCTTTGCAAAATAAGTGATCAAGAGTAGCATAGAGGAAAGAGTCTGGATGTTAAAGTACAGGTACAGGCTCTTGGTATGATATTAGTGGTACACAAGAACTTGGTTCCTGCCACTCAGTCCTAAATATAAAGTTCCAACCAGAAGTGATGAAATCATGAAAACTGCACAGCCGGAACCGGAACTCTGTCTTCATTAATAGGAAAAAACTATTTGATTTACTGATGAACATTGACCAAAAATTTGCAGAACAGATCACATTACCGGCATCATTTCATTACATACCAGGCTTCGAACATGGATAATTTAAAGACTTTGGATGGTGCATACTAATTAGTATTTTTTATCATTGATACTTCAACTCACAAATCATTTGAAAAATGTTAGTATCTCACCCAGTACCTGCTTCCCACTGATCTGATGTTCTATATACAGATTATTCTTTCATAACAAGAATAAGGACATCTTATTATGTTTCTTTGTTGGTTAATTTTCCATTCTCAAAATATTTTTAACAAGATGCTCTATTAAGCGTTAGTCACTGGGGCTATTGCATAAGCAGTGATCTGGAAAAACATGACTGAGATCAGTGACGTAGCCAGCCCGATAATTTAGTCCCGCTATGCAAATTCAAAATTATTATTATTATTCATTTCTTTAGAAATTGATTGTTTTCACAGTCAATGAACACAAAAATATTTGCATAG